TCCCCTCCCCAGGGACCCCCCCCCCCATGAAATCTTCCAGGTATTTCCCAAATCAGAGGTGGTAACCAGTGTTCCCTCTAAGCTGAGTTAGTGTGAGCTAGCTCACAGTTTTTTAGCCTCCAGTGCACACATTTTTGTCTTAACTCAGGAAGGATGGCTCCAGAGCCAACTAAGTTATGCAGCAGCCAAGTCGCTTGCTCACAACTTTAGTGCCAGTAGCTCACAAAGTAGAATTTTTGCTCACAAGACTCCACAGCTTAGAGGGAACATTGGTGGTAACCAGAGGTCCTGCTGAGGAAATACAAGAAACTTGTGGCCACATCGGGAACAATCAATTAAACCATGCTAACTTTGAATTTGTGGCACCTCTCAGGCTTCAAAGCTTATTGCGGCAATTATTGCCCCTGAAATTATCCAAATCACTGTCATTTGTTCATGGTCAGGATTTTCTACAAAAGCTAGGAAATGATCAGTAATCCAGGAAGACAGTGATGATTAAAAAAACTCCCGCACCATTTACAGCTTGGGGAAGAGGCTCAGGAGAGGCACAGGCTCTGTCAGTCTGAACTCTCCAAAGCTGCTTTGATAAGGTGGAAGAGAAATCAGAGCTTTCGCAAGCTCAGTTGGCACTCAGCTGGCCTTTGTTATCCAGCTGATGCTGCAAGGAAGGTGGATGTGTTTCTATGTAAAAAGGGCACTGGCAATGCGAGGTACTTTTTGTGTTGCACTGAGGATGAGACCAGGAGGACCGGCATCCATAGAGAAATTTTGCCGTAAGATGGTGGCGTTCATGATCTTGCCACTTCTACTGACTGCCACAGCAAGCAAAGCAGACAAGTGCCCTCTGGGCGATGCCCTCCCTGGCCTGCATGAGTCCTACCAACCAGGGGTCTTCCTCCTTGGTGGGATTGTTTCTCAGATTGGTTATGCGTTTAGTGATCCTGCCAACCTAGCAGTTTGAAAGCAAGAAATTTCAAGTAGATAAATAGGTACCACTTCGGTGGGAAGGTAACAGCGTTCCGTGCACCTTGGTGTTTAGTCATGCTGGCCACATGACCACGGAAACGTCTTCGGACAGCACTGGCTCTTCGGCTTTGAAACGGAGATGAGCACTGCTACCCTAGAGTCGGACTCGACTGGCTTTCGAGCAAGGGAACCTTTACATTTACCTTTTAGCGACCTGGACTTCAGGAAAAACCATTCGCCAGACTTGTTTGAGGTTCCCAAGTAAGGAATGACACCCTTTTGTCTTTCTGTGAGCTCAGATCACAGAACCAGCGAATTATTTGTACAAGAGACAGGATGCTCAAAGAAAGAAGTCCCAGGCTTGCCTCCCTGTCCCTCCAATCATTTTGTGGCTTTTGTTCACAATTGTCTGTTACAAAGTATGTTGACTTTCTTCTCCTACAATACCAACTCTATTTTGGAAAGCAGGACTGGGCCAAGTAGTAGGGATGCCAACTGCCAGGTGGTACCTTGGGATCCCCCAGAAGTGCAGCTCAAAGAAACACAAAGCAATGTATGATAATTCATATGACTGAATACGGAGATAGGTATTCTGCACATGGCTAATTGTGAATGATTATTCTTTAAAAATATTTGTTTTTGTGACGAACTTGACTTGTTAAATGTTGCCAATGAGCCTGTACTTCTCTTGATCAGCTTTTCATATGAACATTTTTTTAAAAAAAATACATGGAATTCACTGCCACAGGAAGTGGTGGCGGCTACAAGCATGGACGGCTTCAAAAGGGAACTAGATAAGCATATGGAGCAGAGGTCCATCAGTGGCTATTAGCCACAAGGTATAGAGAGGGACTCTGGGGCAAGTGATGCTCTGTCTTCTTGGTGCTTGGGGGGTCAACAGTGGGAGGGCTTCTAGTGTCCTGGCCCCACTGGTGGACCTCCTGATGGCACTGGTATTTCTGGCCACTGTGTGATACAGAGTGTTGGGCTGGATGGGCCTTTGGCCTGATCCAACATTG